ACCGGGGGGGAGGGGCTGGGATGTGAGGCCGCGATTGGCGTTGGGAGCCTCTGGGTGTGTGCAGGCTCCTGCTGTCACTCAGCCCAGTGAGGAACGAGTAGAGATGATAGACGTGGAGCCATGTCCGACCCGCTCGGTGCACTGACCCAGGCCAACCTGCAGGTGCTGGCGTCCATCCCTGTCCCTGTGGCTAGAGGCTGCGGAGGCCCAGCTCCGCCAGCTGTCTGAGATGCAGGGGGTTGGGGGCCCTCTGGGTGTGTGCAGGCTCCTGCTGTCACTCAGCCCAGTGAGGAACGAGTAGAGATGATAGACGTGGAGCCATGTCCGACCCGCTCGGTGCACTGACCCAGGCCAACCTGCAGGTGCTGGCGTCCATCCCTGTCCCTGTGGCTAGAGGCTGCGGAGGCCCAGCTCCGCCAGCTGTCTGAGATGCAGGGGGTTGGGGGCTGTCTCCTTTTGTGTCTGTGATGGGGAGATGGTTCTAGTAACTGGGCAGGAGGCTGTGGCCCCTCCTGTGAAGCAGGGGCCTGTGACTTCACCCTGTCTTTTACCCTCAGAAATCGATAGATGTGCCTCTGTCCCCAGTCCGTGTGGCCCAGGCACTTGTGTGAATCTGCCCGGCAAATACAGCTGCTTGTGTGGCCCTGGCTATCGGCTGCATCCTGGCCGCCCCCAATGCATTGGTATGTCATTAGCTCTGCTGATTGTAAAGGGGAGATTGGGGAGACAGCGGGTGCCAGGTAACAGGCGTGTGGAGCGGAGCTGGGCAATGCTGACCACAGCCTGACTCTTGAGCACAAAGCTATGGCCCTGGGCCTTGCAGCACCAGCCCCGCTGCCTTCCTGAGCAGAACAACCCTGAGGCCTGGCATCATTTTCTGTCCAGCTTCCCCCATTTTAGCAGCCGGGGAGGTTTGAAGGGCACCGTCCATGTGTGAGGGTGCTGCCCTCCAGTGGTGCATGACAGCCAAACAGGGGCCTGTCCCTGCCCTAGCAGGCTCCCTGGGGAGAGAAATACTGAGTGGGTGAGATGGGTCCCCTCTGGCCTTTGCTCATCCCATCTCCAGCGATGTCTGTAGGAAATGGGAGGGCTAATGGTTTTGCCTGCGTGACCCTGTTCTTCTACTGCGGGCCCAGATGATGATGAGTGTGTGAGAGATCCCTGCGCCGGGAAGGGTCGCTGCATCAACAGTGTGGGCTCCTACTCCTGCCTCTGTTACCCGGGATACACCCTGCTTGCCTCCCAAGATGCACAGACCTGTCAGGGTAAGTGGTGCTCCAGCTGGTTCTGCCCACATGCCATGGGGCACCTTGCCTGACCTTCCTGTGATCTCCCCCGGCTAGATGTCTCCTGGTAATGGGGATTCCAGCCTCCTCCTTCATATGGTCCAGGTCTCCCCCTGAGACACCACTTCCAAAGCCTGCCTTAGAAAGACCCCTCCTGCGGGGCAAAGGAGGTTGCATTTTCTCTTGCTGGGACAAGGCAGTGAGCTGTGCAGGCGAGGAAAGACTGCGATAGAGTGTCAATCAGCAAAGGCTTTTTGTCCAGAAAACCCCTCCATTGGGGCCTGTCTGAGCCAGAGGCTAGGGGTGTGGAGCTCTGCTAACCTTGCATCCCTCACATTGTGTCCCGAGCACCCTCTCAGAGCACTTGGAGAGGGCAGGAGGAAACCCGGCAGCGCATCATCCTCTGGCAGCTGGCAAGTGCTGGTCTGAGCTCGTTATTAGCTGGGCCTTCTGCCAAGCAAACAGGAAGCCCTGGCTCTGCTCAAACTGCCTCCAGCCTGCTGTGGCATGTGGGGGTGACCAGCAGCATGGGACATAGAGTGTGAGTGACACAGGCCATAAGAATGGCCTGCTGGTGCCATTCCGCCTCATTGGCATAAGGGCAGAGTTGGCTCTCGGGAGGGATTTGAACGAGGGGAGGGGAGTGGCCATGCAGAGGGCATTTGGGCTGAATGGACAGGGAGGGCCCTGCACACAGAGCCAGCTCTCACACCCTTAACCCAGCCCGGTTCCCTGACGGGCAGTAACAGACCTGAATGAATGTGCGCCAGGAGGTAGTGCACCAACACAGCTGGATTGTGTCTCTGTGAGTGTGCCAGGGGCTATGCTGTGGGCCTCAGAGGATGATGCGAAGGTGAGTATGCTAACTTTGCGTAAGTGAGGGGGTCCAGCCCCAGCTGTCAGTGCTCCCCTCCCCCTGGTATTGCACTGAGACGCTTGTACCTTTTCACTTTGTCATGTCAGTCACCCTCTTATCCTGACAGCCTGCCCCTGCTTGCCTGGGCGAGTCCCCACCCCATGTTCATTCCCCTGTAGGCTCTCTTGCCCCTGGTCCCCGAGTGGGAGCCCCCTAAGGCCCAGTGGGACCCATCCTGAACCCCTCTTCTGGACTGCAAAGGGAATGCAGTGCGTTTTGTTCTTGCGTTGGGGCTTGTCTTTTGGAGGTTTGAGCTCTGTTGTTGCCTCTGTTTGAGCCCTCGGCTAGCAAGTACCTTGAAGATGTGATGTATACAGCCAGCTGCATGTACACTGGCTGCCTCCAGCATGTCACAGTGACTGAAAACCCAAGTGTGCATCCTACCAGGTGTGGATGCAGGCCATAGGGACAACAAATGGGGAGTGGGACTCTTGAGGACCCCCTTCGGGGCCCTAAGCTCAATGCGCTTGCAAGCCCATCTGCTTGGAGTCACAGTCGCGCTGCTTTGGTCAGAGCAGGCTGGGAGGACGAGGCAGCTGTGTGTGGTCCCAGCTGTGAGGATGTTCTGGATGGGACTGTATCTCTCTCTCTCTTTTCCTGGAGTCTGAAAGCAGGGGTCTCTCTGCAGATATTGATGAGTGTGCTGACCCCAGCGTTTGCCCCAGAGGGAGATGTGTCAATACACTGGGTTACTACGAGTGTCTCAGTTGTGCTGCTGGTTACCAGCCAATGAATGGAAGATGCATTGGTAAGGAGACAAGAGCTGTTCCTACCAAGACCCCTCCCTAATTCCTTCTGGAAACTCCCTGTTGCATAGCAGCAGTTGCAGCCCTAGCCACGCCCTCCTGAGGCTGTATTGTACCATACAAGCCTCGTGGGCAGGCTCTGGCTGCTGGGTCTTTCTGTAGGAAATGGCAGACAGGAGAGACTAGCATGTGTAACCTGATTCCATGCTTGGCAGGGACTGGGTGGTGGAGAGATCCCTGGGGATATTGGAGCGCTTCTGTTCCTGGCTTGATGGGCCCCTTGGCCATGTCTTACAGATGACGACGAGTGCCTCACCTTGGGAACCTGTGCTCACGGACTGTGCATCAACCTGGCCGGCTCCTTCAGGTGCTCCTGCTACCATGGCTATGAGGTGACAGCAGATGAGAAGAGCTGCCAAGGTATCCTAGCCTCTACCAGATGCTCCTGGGCCTAGTCCAACTCCCATCACGTCTGTGGCATGATTTCCAATGAGTGTGGGGCATTCTTGAGTGTGTGGACATGCTGGCTGTGCGTTCCTG